TACATTGTGGTTTTCCTAGTAAGTTCTGGTCCCCGTGAACTTTATTATTATTCAAAGGTTGACTGTCAGTTGTTTTGGTTTCAGGCTGACTCTGCTTTAAATGCTTGCTGACATTAGGAAAGTCACTAAAGGTCTGTTAACTTTAGAGGTCTGCATGTGCACAAAGTGTAGAGTTAAAGTTAGGACATAAATGTGCTGCTGCAAAATAGAAAATTGGAATTTCCGGTTTGTGATCTTTTGCTTTGTGTCACTGATACACATTTACCTGTAACTTCATTGGGTAAATCACCTTGCTTGTACTGAGTTGGACCGGCTCCTTCTTTTTCTTCCAAGCTCTCTGTGGCATAGATTCAACAAGGGACCAGAAAAATTCCACAAAGATTTAACTCCATGTTAACAAGATTGACAGACAGACAGATAGATGGTGCATCATCCTGCTGAAGCTCTGTGGTCATGCAGGGGTGGACATGGTCAGCAACAGGTGCTCAAATTGTGCTTGTAGCCATGCTACCAAATGGTGAATCTACAATCCAATACAGTGCTACTATTATAACATAGCTGTAGGTATAATATATGGTACCTGGGATTTTCCACCAATTTTTAGAAATGAAGAAGCCTCTTACATGGGAGGTGAAGTGATATCATAAAACTTAGATATTTCTTAACAAAGTGGCTCACAAAATCTTCTTTTCATGCTTCAGTTTGACACCATAATAAGGTTTTCAGTTCCAGGTAAACTGTAAAAGAAGACTTAGTTTGGACAGGGATGCAGGAGTTATGTGAGGACAGTATGTTAGGCAGAGCTGGGACAGAATTTGGAGGTAAAAAGCTTTCTATGGTACGCGTCAGCTCGTGTTTTTATGCAGCGTTCATAATAACCCAGAAGAAGCTTTTGGAAAGTTTAATGCAGGACGACATCAGCGGAGTGCAAAACAGTGTTTGTTTTCTTCTCAGACATCGTGTCCAAGCCTTTAGGTTCAATGCAGCTGGTTAACGTGGCAGCCTGTAGGGGATCTGCTCAGCTTTACCTTCATGCGACTGAACTGCTTCAGCAAATAAACCGATTTATTTATTTAAAGGAGGAATTTGAGATCTCCTTTAATTGTTATGGTTTGAAATAATTTTGATACAAAATGCAAATCATACAACTTACTTACTTAGACCAGCCTGATCTGGTTGTTTA